TTGCCTTCATGGCTGTATACCTGTAAACTCATCTTCTGATTTTATTCACCCTGCACCTAACAATTGTTACACAGAATACAGGAAAAGCAAGTGGAAGCAGAATCAAGACCACTTATTTTTGGAAAAAATCCCACGATGTTACGCCAGCTTATCTGTAATGACAAATTGTCCGTTCAGGTGTTATGCAAGATGACCATTTGGGGTATTCACTGAACTATAGCCACAGATGAGGCTGCTGATGCATGAAGGTACTCTACAGAAATCAGCAAACTTTTTCAACTACCAATAGTAGTACTACCAATAAGACAACCCATACAAACTTGCATATCTGCATATCCATGGAAGCTTCCTTCAGATAAAAAGGAAAAACAAAACAAAAAACCCAAAGAAGCAAAACCCCCATACAACAAAAGTGAGTTCCTCATACATCCTTCCAGTAAATCACTGTTGGCATTGTTCCATGTAAAATATTCTGGGGGATGAACTGATCAAGAGCAGCCCTGCCAAGGACTTGAGAGTTCTCCTGGATGAAAGGCTGGGCACAGCAATGTGGACTGGCAACCCCGAAAGCCAAACACGTCCTGGGCTGCATCCAAAGCAGCGTGGGCAGCAGGGCCAGGGAGGGGATTCTGCCCCTCTGCTCTGCTCAGACCCCACCTGCAGGGCTGCATCAGCTCTGGGGTCCCAGCACAGGAAGGACATGGACCTGCTGAAGAGAGTCCAGAGAAGGGACACCAAGATGATCAGAGGGAGGGAGCACCTCCCTGTGAAGAAAGGCTGAGAGAATTGGGATTGTTCAACCTGGAGAAGAGAAGGCTTAGAGTGACCTAACTACAGCCTTCCAGTACCTGAAGGGAGCCCACTAGAAAGATGGAGAGGGACTTTTTAATTAAAGAACATGTAGTGACAGGACAAAGGGGAATGGCTTCCAACTGAAAAAGAGCAGGTATAGATTAGATATTAAGAAATTCTTTACTGTGAGGGTGGTGAGGCCCTAGAACAGGTTGCCCAGAGAATCTATGGATGCTCCATTCCTGTAAACATTCAAGGCCAGGTTTTATGGGACTCTGAGCAAAGTAATGTAGAGCATGGCATCCCTGCCCATGGCAGGCGGTTAGAACTAGATGATCTTGATACTTCCTTCCAACCCAAGCCATTTTGTGATTCTCCATTTTTTTCCTTTGTTATCAACTACACAGAATTAGGTTTTGTTAAAACAGTGTGGGTTTGTGAATTTTTTTTTGTTGGGTTTGGGATTTTCTTAATTCCTATAAACATGTGAAAAGCACACTGAAAAAAATCTTCATATTAAGTCTAATTAAGAGTCATGTTGACACACTGTCCTGCTAATAATTCAAAGGAAACACATTACCACACTAAATGGGGTAGTTCTCGCACCATGAAGTTACTGCTAAATTATAAACAGCAACCTCAACATATTTGGAATGAAATTTTATGAGAGCTAATATGACAATAGCGGAGGGTTTGGCTTTAGTTTTTTAGTGGTTTATATTTTTCAAGTTTCCACTTCAACTTCCGACAAAGGCATTCAAATACTGAGCTTAGTCCAGCCTGGCTTACTACCAAGTTGAACAAAAGTAATTTAGGCTAAACAAATGTAAACAGCCTTTTAGAGAAGGCATGGCAAAGTCAACAAAATTCATCTAAATATTGATACAGAAATGCAGCTCTTAGACCATGATTTTCAGGAAGGAATGCATTTCCTTACAAAATCTGCAGCACTGCATCGTCAGATACATGGGGCTCAGATAGTACAAGTCATCTTCCAGTCTCAGAGAACTGGAATTTTAAAGAGTTTGGTTTTACAAAAAATAAATCCTTTACTGATTTAAGATTTTGGCAAGTAATGCAGTAATCTCTGGAATTAAAAGCTGATGACTGAAGGGTAAAAATATGGACAGGTCTGCATACATAAGAGTAAGAATTTAATTAACTGTACCTTCACAGTTTTATCCACAAAATTCTACTGATATAATTTTGTTTTGCAGCAGGTTACTTTATCCCAGTAATGTACAGGCACAAGTTTAAAGTGCTAAAAGCATCCTGAAACACCACTGAGGGGGAAGGAATAAAAAAAAAATTAAAAACTTTGCCAGAAAGTAACCCAGGTACAGCTTAGTTTCCCCTGATGGTCACTGTTGGTGGCACACTGCAGCCTGTGTGTGACAAAAAGCAGAGAGCTGTGCCAGCCAGAGCCAGTGGGGTAACCCTCCCCAGCAGGTTACTGCTTCCTCACAGGGGATGTCCAACCCACCACAGGCCTGAGGGCTCCCTGATCTCCATCAGCCAAAATAACTGAGGCTAGCAAAGGTTACTATTAAAAGTGCTTAAGCCAGGATGGCTGCTGAAGCAGGACAGACACACACACACCCTGTACCAGCTGCAGCACTTGCCAGCTGAGAGCTGCACTTCATCCACCAGCAGAACAGACATGGACAAGTTAAGATGTGACACCGCTCTAGTTCTTACATACAATTAAAACTCCTTATTTAAGCAAGAGGTACTGTTTTTTTTCAGGGTTTTTTGACCCTAACATTAGAAGCAGATTACTTTCTTTAGGGAGAATGCTTTCCTTCACAAACTCCAGGGAAAGTTCAGCAAATTCACTGGCTGCACAAACTTTAATTACATAATACATTAACCACACAATAAATTAAAGCAAAAATGGAGTATAAGCATAGGGAACAAACTAATCTTACTATTGTAAATATGAAATTTCACATTATGGATCAAAACCAGTTTTCACTGGATTACCACATCAGCTATAAGCATTCTGTAGCTGTATTTCACAGGTGAGTTATTTAGCTGCATGCTACAATATCAGTGGTGTTTTGTTTGGTTTTGGTTCCCTGCACACCTGCCTACTCCCCCTGACCTTTAATAACAATACAATCATGAAATGATGTTGAAAGGTACTTCTGGAGGTCATCTGGGTCAACTCCTTTTCCCCTAAAACCATGTCAGCTTCAGAGTTCCACATGTTGCTTAGGGCTTTCTCTTCACAGGCTAAGAACCTCAAACTGAAAAATTAAGGCATACTTTAAAAAAAGCTTCAAAACCATTAAAACCCCAAACAAAAAAAACCCAACCAACCCTATTCCACAATATAACCTAGGATATGACTATTCTTAAAGATATCAGAACTCCAATCAAACTTGTTCCCTTCAAGAGTATGTTTCACAAGAAAATACAACCAGTAAGAAAACCAGAAATATAAGAAATAATTCTTAATAAGAATTGAGGAGAAAAGTTAAAGCTAATTTAACTTATCTACTGTCAGCTTCTTTCTGTAACAAGCATCTTGATTTGTTGTTGCAGAATGCAGCAGACTTAGCAAGAGGTGTCCAACCATTCAGAGCAGTGCACAGGAAGTGCAGAAGCAGCTGAGAACTGTACACTCCTCCGGGTGACCTCAGTTACCTTCCTTGTATTATCACACATGTGCACACATACAGCTGACCACCATCACATGAAAATACTTAGTCCTGTGATAAGAGAGGTTCAGCAATAGCTCTGGAGAAAGAGCTACAGAGAGAAGCAGGCAAACATTTCACACACCTTAAGACTTCACTCAAACAAGTGCCCCTGAGAAAAGTTGAACAGCAAGGATCAAGCCGTGGGCTAAAAGCTGTATTGGACATTTCATGTCACAACTGCCAACCATGAACTAAAGGGGGGTGGGGAAAATATTCATGGAATTATTTTCAGAAAAATAACTTTCAGAAAAGGCCATACAAAATTACAAAATGTCACCAGATGAACAGTCTGAACTGGCACAGAAATGGTGATGTTTTCCCACTGAACAGATACTTCTACTTGTATAACTGATTGCAAAACCAGGAAGCTGTCCTACAGAAAACTATTTGAATTTTTTTTTCACATCTTATTTTCCATTACATGGATGCAGCTCTTCCTGCTACACCACTTCCCAAGTCCACTCTGCTGACATTAGTAGCTTCAAATCAGAGATTTCACGTAAGAATGAATGCCTGATTTTTCAAGAATCATGTTCACACACTCGTCTTTCAGTAAAATCAGTATCAAGACCTTTTTTCCCTTTTCTGTTGTATAAGTTCACTTGTACAACACACAGCATCTCCCCTATTCCCCCAACAACCTGCAAATGTAAGCGTGTCCTGGGGCATGCGGCCGTGCTTTTTACACCCACAGCAATATACGGCAACAAAGGAAAAATAAAGACTCCACAAAAACTCCGCAGCTCAGAATAAACACCCCACCCAACCAGACAAAATAAGGAACAGCGACACGGTCATCTGACCCAATAAAAATAATACCGGGTGTTGCTCAGGACATACTGCCTTAACCCAAATAAACTCAGATAGCCGCCAGGGATATACGAGAGACGCGAACCGGCGGGGCGATGCCGTCGGCAGGCAGAGAGTGCCTGGGGGGTTCGGGGAAGCGCGCGGCCACCCCCCGGGAACGCTGACGCGCAGGGCTCGGGAGAGGGAAAGGGAGATGCACCGAGGCCAAGCTATAGCGCAACGCCGAGGCTCCTCCGGCCCCAGCCGTCCCCGCCGTCCCGGCTCGCTGCCCTCACATCTCCCGGGCCCGGGGGTTCACCGGGCGGCGCGGAGCCAGCGCCGTGCCCGCCCCCGCCGCGGCGCTCCGCACAAAATGGCTGCGTGCGGCCGGGGCCCAGCACGAGGGGGCATCGCCCATCGCCGCCTCCGCCCGCGGCTCCGCTGCCCGGCTCCCGCGGGAAGCGGCGGCCGGATGCGTGGCGGCGGGACACGCAAGCGGTTCCTGTAGGTGAAAGGTCGGGGGGCGCGGGGCCGCCCGGGGCCGGGCCGGGCCCCGGGGCGGGGCGGGCGCGCTCCGCTCCACGTTCCGCAGCGGTGGCGGCCGGGAGCCGCGCGGGCCCGCACCGTTACAGCGCGGCCGGCCCCGCTGCTCCTGCCGCCGGGCCGCGCCTGCTGCGGAGGGCGTCCCTCGGCTGCTGGAGGTCTCGCTCTTACCTGGCGGGCCCGGTGCCCCGTCCGGCGGGTTTCTTTAGCGGCGGCGCGGCTCCGGCTCCCGGGGGTCAGAGTTCGCGACCCCGCCTCCGCCGCCGCTCGGCCCCGCCCCGCCGCGGGCTCTGCGCCTGCGCGGGCGCTCGAGACTCGCGCGCTGGTGAGGGCGGGGCCCTGGGCGGCTGTCGGTAACGGGACCGGACCGGGCCGGGCCCGCAGCCTGTGGGCAGGGGCGTGGGACCAGGGCCGGCGCGGCTGGAACAGACCTGTAAGATCGGTCAGTGCAACCGTCCAGGCAGCACTGCTGCCACTGTAACACCTAAACGACACCACCAGATCAGACGCCTCTCTAAAGCACCTCCAGGCAATAGTGACTCCGACTTCCCTGGGCAGCCTATTCCGGTGCCCGACCATCCTAAAAAAAAAGATTTTTTCCTGATCTGGAAATCTCTCCTGGTACCGCTTAAAGGCACTTCTTTAGTTCTCTCGCTGCAGACACGGCAGAAGAGACCAGTCCCTCACCTCACTACACCCTTCTTACAGGTAGTTGTGAGAGCCATGAGGGCCCCCCTAAGCCTCCTCTTCCTGAGATTAAACAAACACAGCTCCATCGGGCCTTCCTCGTAAAGCATGTTTTCGAGACTCTTCCGGAGCCTTGTTCACTTTCTCTGGATGCTCCTTTTTAGAGTGAGGGTTCCAAAATGGAACACAGTTCTCGAGTGTTCTGCCCATCGAGTGGAGGGCACAAGTCTCCAAACCCCCACAGCAGTTCCCTGCAGAGAAATGGGACCGAGCGGAGCTGAACATCACAGGTGCACAACACAGCACTTGGGTTTCGGGGAGCTCGGTGGGCTTTCCTGGTCGAGGCAGGTCCATAGGCAAGACTGGCAGGCTGGGTTTTGTTATAAATGCAATGGCAAAATAGGGTTAATACAAAAAGCGATTTATTATAAAACAATTTTAATCATAAACAACGAGAGAAAAAACCACAATAAATCAGCGCAGCGCTGGGTGGATAGGGAGACATCTATACCCGGAGGTACAAATTTACCCAAATCCACGAAGGAGGGTAGACTGTCCGGGGTTTTTATAGGGATTTTGTGTCCTGAGGCCAAAACTCCGAGCAGTTACTGTTCAACAAAGAGTTTAGATGGCTGGTTGAATGAATTTCCTGGAACCGTGGAACTGAATCAATAGACGACTGGGCAGAGTCTGCTCACATGTGAAAGGTTCTGAGTGCTTCTTGATTGTATCTTCGGTTGGACTCTCAGGGTGAAGTGTCCAGGTCCGGTGCGGAGGAGTCGATGGATATCTCGGCTGGGCTCCTCTTATTGTCTGGCCTGATTGCATCTTCAGTCGGGGCTTGCAGGAAGGGGTGTCTCGGTGAGGTGTGGAGTCGATGGCCATCTCGGCCTGGCTCCTTTCTTTGTTTAGCTTAATTGTTCGTGTCCTGCTCTTTCTTTCAGGCTGATGAACGTTGCCTAGGGTCGTTACCGCCTGAATGGGTAGTTACTGCTGGGTTTGGGGAAATTCTTAGGCCACACTATATTTTATATAATTTTTACATTGTTACAAATCCAGTTATATACTTATTTATTCTTTCACGAATTTTTATCCATGGTTACATTTATCACAGTTTGAAACACGCAACCTGACGGAATCACACACAGTGCCTTGCACAGTCACTGTAGCAGTTCAACCAGCTAAGTCTGAAAGAGCTGTGCTGCGCCTGCATGGCAAAAGCAAGTTCCATCCTTAAATCTCAACAGTGCTCTTGGGAAGGCAATGGCCTGGCTGCCAGTGAGTGCCTGTTCGTGCTGGGGTAGTGCCACGAGAACAACTTGCTGCTGGTCTGGCTCTGCCTCAACATCTGTTTGGACCAAAGTAGTGTTAGCTACTTCCTTAGTGTTATAAACGTAATAGCAAAATAAGGTTAATATAAAAAGCAATTTATTATAAAACAATTTCAATCATAAGCAACGAGAGAAAAAAACACAATAAAATAAATCAGCGCTGGGTGGACAGGGGTCTGCACCCAGAGGTACAGATTTTCCCAAATGCACGAAGGAGGGGTTGCAGTCCGCGGTTTTTATAAGGATTTTTGTATCCTGAGGCAAAACCCGGGATGGGCACAGTCCAACAAAGAGTCTAGATGTGTGGGTGAATAGATTTCCCGGATCCATCGAGGTGAGTCAATAATCAACTGGGCAGAGTCCTTTCACATGCGAATGGCTCTGAGTGTCTTCTGATTGCATCTCCCGGGGTGGAGTGTCCAGGTTGGGTGCAGAGCGGATGGATATCTCGGCCAGGCTACTCTCATTGGTTTGATTGCCTGTGTCCTGCTCTTTATTTCGTGCTGATAAGCGTCGTGTAGATCGTTACCGCCCGACTCGGGAAGGAATCTCTGGATCATGCTACATTTTGTATCTTTACAGTATTATAAATATAACATATATTTCTTTATTCTCCTTCACGAATTTTTATCCAATGCCATATTTATCACAGTCCCCTGCCTAATAATTTATCACATTAAAAATTCGTGTTAGCTCATTTTATTTCCAATGGGGAGGACTGGGGACTTTTAACAATACTTGTCCTCCTCCCAGTCCTTTAGAGAATCCTCACAGTACCCTTGAAAAGGGTCATTTTCTTCAAATTTCTTTAGGGCTTCAACTGCCTTCTCGTTTTCTCCTTTCTCTTCTAACTTCATTAGTTTAGATATTTGGGAGAAAGGAGTAGGCTTCTGTTATAAATGCAAAGGCAGATTTGGGTTAAATAAAAAACAATTTATTATAAAACAATTTCTATAAAAAAATAAACAATGAGGAAAAACCACAATAAAACAAACAGCGCAGCGCTGGGTGGACAGGGGTCTATACCCAAAGGTATAGGTGTTCCCAAATCCACGAAGGAGGGTAGACTGTCCGGGGTTTTTATAGGGATTTTTAGCCTTGAGGCCAAATTCCAG